CACAAGCCTACGTATTTCCTTGAACCTTACCAAGAACAAATGTTCTCTCTTAGGCTCATATTTACTGCTGAATGTTATTTGACAGGGCAAATATTTACCTGCAATAATACTACAAATCTTTATCCTTCTCACTGGGAATAATATTTCTCTGACTCAATGCTTGGCTGCAACTCCTGGATCCTCACAGATAATCACACAGAGCATGACTCAGTGGAGAATTGGGGTCACTGGACATTTGCCATTCTGCCAAGGAGGAGAACAGTTTCCCAGATCCTTGGTCAAGTCATGTCCTCTGTGATTAATACCAATGTGCAGTGCAGACATGATGCTGCCTGGCTGTGGAGTGTTTTGTAGAGGAGAATGGTGCTTTCCTTCCCTTCCAGGAGGGGAAAGGCAGGAGAAAGCTAAAGGCTTCATTTATAGAAGTGTTCAACACTAGTTACGCCCTCCCAAGTCACCTGCATGCAGATTTGTGGTGTCTTTTCGAGCGTGGCTGTGGCTTTGGCTGAGGCACAGCTGGTCCCTCAAGAGCTGCACAGCATTAAGATGTCTGGACATCCCTTGATCTCAGACCAGCTGAATGTGTGGAGCCCCTGGGTGCTGCACAGGGATTGGGGAAGTGGATCTAAACCTGCCTTCTCTTCACTGATGTTCCTGGGAGTGCTCTCCCTGGGATCAGGGAGGTTTTGTTAGGGGCTGACTGGTGGGAGTTTGCCAGGGCTCGGCTTCATTTGAGTTCAGGAGGAGATGCAGCATGGGAGGAGAAGATGAAGCAGCAGCAACATCAAGGGTGGTTTTAGTCTGATGGCAGAGGGTGTGCTGGGTCACAGTGCCCATCTCATGGTGCAGAGGTGAGGGACACCCAGGGCATGAGGATAACTCATGGATGTGTCAGGCCAGTCCCCAAAGCTGCCTTCTGCCTGAGAGCTTTCTCCTGCAGGTCCTGGGGCTTTGGGGTGCCTCCTATGCATCTCTCTCTCCCTCTTCTGAAAAGCATCAAGGAGTGCAGCAAATCCAGGAGATCTTGGCACATTGTCCCTGTGGTGGGGAGCAGCACTGGCAGGAGGCCACGTAGGGCTGTCTCCAAGACCTGGTGGTGCTTAGGAGCACAGGTTGTGCCCCAGCAGTTCATCAAGGAGACCTGGCTGTGCAGGTCACCCCGTTCTCTTACACAGGGTTTAGGAATTCCAACTTTCCTCTCAAATGTTTAGGAATAGCATGTCCCAGCCCTATGCTGTGAGCTGTGAGGGAGCAGCCAGTAACTTGGTTAGCTGTTCTGACTCCTCTTGGCCCTGGACATGGACTGGAAGTCACCTTGCCAGGAACCAGAGCCTTTCTTTCCAATACAGTTCACTCACATCACTTCCCCTCCACTCCTCTGTGCTCTGCTGCTGAATCTGCAGGTGGGTGGAGATGGTCTAGGGAGCACATTCAAATTTGGGTTTTAAGAAGGAAAAATTGTTTTAAAATATGATTTTGCTGGTGTTGGAGATTGGCTGTGCCTGCTGCAATGCCATCCCATGCCATTGCTGTGCAAGGATGGGGCATAACCATGGGTATGAGGCCCTGGCACAGGTTGCCCAGAGAAGCTGTGGCTGCCCCATCCCTGGAAGTGTCTCAAGGCCAGGTTGGACTGGGCTTGGAGCAACCTTGGCTAGTGGAAGGTGTCCCTGCCCATGTCAGGAGGGTTGGAACTAGGTGATTTTTAAGGTCCCTTCCAACCCAAGCTATTTTATGGTTCTGTAATAACCCTGGGGCTGCGCTCAGGGCAGTTTGGTCCTACACAGCCCCTCTAGCTGGGGCACAGAGCTGCTCAGCGGGGCTGAGGGCAAGGAGGGACTCAGGAAAGGGGAACTGCTCCCTCTCTGAGAGGTTCTTGGCTCCACCCTGTATCTCCATCCCTCTGCAGGCTGGGGCAGGGGGTTGCCACTCCAAGTACCACCCATGTGCCCTGCAGCGCGAGCCGCGAGAGGCTTTGCAAGAAGAGGCCTGTTGTTTCAGCTGATTTCAGTGTTTTAATTTGAAGAGGAATAATGTGTAATCACAACAACTGTCATCTGTTTGACAGTGGAAAATCCCAGATCTCCCGTGCTTTTTTTGGGCCCCGTGCTGGGCAAGCCATTCAGCAGCACGAGCTGCTCTGCAGTCACATTTGTAGTCCTGGTGGGATGAATGGGTTCAGACCAGCTCGCTAATCTAATTTGTAATGTATCCTTATAACGTATAATTGGCTGTTTAATTTCATTCGAATTAACATAAGAATGGAAAATATAATCTGCTGCGTGGCCCACATGGTGGTGGAAGGGAGCGTTGGGTGTTACTGCAGAGGGCTTTGAGAGGTGGCTTTGTGAGACCACCCTTCGTGGGGGTGGAGGCGTCGTCTTGGACATGTCAGTAGGCACCGTGTGTGACAATAAATCACTCCCTTTCCCCAGCCTTCCAAGTGCCTATCTGTCTCATCTCCCTTCCTTATCTTTCTAGCCATCTATTTAAAACACATATAGAGTGAAGGCGGCTTGCTTTGGAAAGCTGTCGGTAGCGACAGGGTGTGAAAGCTGGCAGGCGCCGAGTCTGATTATGTTGATTGGATATTGTCTAATCTGATTTTGATTGTGTACAGCTTTGATTGTAATTTTGATACGTCTGCAAAATGCTGTAGCTGTTTGGAAAGCTTTGTGATTTAAACAGGTCTTTTTTCTTTCTGTTTTTTTTGTCTTTTTTTCCCCTGGGTTGAATAGAACAGAGGCAGAAACGTGACAGGGGGTGAGCAGGGTGACGGGCCTTTGGCACTCCCTGCAAAACCACCTCAAAGCCCCTGGGTGAGCTGCTCTGCAGCAACACAAGGAGCTCATAGTTTTGCAGAGAGCTTTAGGAAACTTTGAGTGGGTTTTACATAATTTAGTTAAGCACAGCAAAGCCACTTGCTTATATACCTGATACCAAAATAAACCAGTTGGAGGAACAAGTTTGCTGTGTGATGATTTATTTAAATCCCTTTCTGTAAAGCATGGAGTGAAATCCTCTTAAATAACTGGGAAAGAATCGGAGTACTTCGAGGAGCACAGCCCAAATGGAAACCTTGCTACCAGATGTATTAAATGGGATCTATCTGTCTGCTGTTGTGTACATCCCCTCAGCCTGCTGCCTTCTCTCTATAATAAAACCGTTAGACAGAAGCTGGCTTGAATTTCCCCTGAACAATAACAGTTGGTACAGAGCTATCAGGGCCCAGGCTCTGTCTTGTGTTTCTGGCATGCTCTTGTTTCCCTGCAGCTGGTGGGAATCTCAGGCGAACATGAAGGTTCTGGTCAGAAATGCAGTAGCTGCTCTTGAATCATCACATGGTTTGAGTTGGAAGGGAACTTAAAGATCATCTTGTTCCAACAAGATGCTGCCAGCCCCAGTTTTGGGGTGAGGCAGGAGCAATCCCCTACTCTGACACCCCACAGAGCCACAGCTGTCCCTGGCAATGCCCTTTCACCAATCCATGGATCTCTCCTTGCTCTCTCCTGCCTCTCCCACTGACTTCTGTGTTCTGGTTAAATATAGGCTTTATTTTATTTTATTAAGGGCTTTTTCCCCACACTCTGGGGTGATGAAGAGCGGGAATCTGAGGGTGAGCTCTGGGACAATGGATTAATAAAGCCTACAGTGCTTAACTGGTTTTTTTAACATCTGGGGTTTTGCTCTTAAATCAAGTATTAAGTCAAAATCCAACCATGAAACTAGGTGATCAGGAAATTTAGCTTAAAATCCATGTGTATAATGCTATGGCTAATCAGAATTTCATATGCTATAATAATATGTGAAACAGTAGATGTTTAGAATCAGCCTCCTCTGCCAGAGACTCGTTATATTCTGCATTGATAATTAATACTTTTGGATAGATTCACACTTACATTATGAAGCAAATATGTTTTTGTCTGAAGTGAAAACGATTGCACAGGTGCAATAACATATTCTTTATATAAATTGGAACGCTTAGAAGTAAACAAGCCTCCAGAAAACATGGGGAGCAGACGGAGTACTGACATCTCTGTGTGTTCATGTCACCTCGAGGCAACGTTGGTAGGGAGGTGAGGGAACACTCCTCCAGATGAAATTTGGAAGAGGATACAAGGAAGGACAAATCTCCATGTGTGGTGAAGTCATGCAGGCTTCCTTTCAAGGATTTCTTAACAAGTGATGGCTCTGTTTGCAAATCTCCCTCCCTGGTTGTAGCTTCTATGCTGGAGTTTTTGAGGACTCAGCAGGAATTAGGACAAGAGGGAATGGCTTTAAACAGAGAGGGGGAAGAGCAAGATATTGAGGAAAAATTCTTTACTACGAGGGCCGTGAGGCCCTGGCACAGGTTGCCCAGAGAAACTGTGGCTGCCCCATCCCTGGGAGTGTTAAATGGAGTTTGGACCAATCTTTTTAGGGGAAGGTGTCCCTGCCCATGGCAGGGAGTTTGGAACTAAGTGAGATTTAAAGTCCTTTCCAATCCAAACCATTCCATGATTCTTTGAATATTGTTCCTAAGTAATTGTTATTTCTACAGATTAAATTATCATAAAAACTCTTAAAAATATCAACTACAGGTACTGTAAGAGCTGAGCTGGGTGCCCGGAGAGAGGCTTTGACTTACAGATGGTCAGGAAGCAGCTCTTCCATGGTTGTGGCACTGCAAACATCACTGGCCTGGCTGTGGTCCAGGCATGGAAGTTTCTGCTGACGCTTTGGCGAGTAAAACATGTGCAAGAGGGATGAGGGGAGCAAGGGGATGACCTAAGTGGATCTGAGGCGTGTGAGGATCCTTCGCTGATGGATGGTGGTGCAGCACTGCCACACTTGCACCCTGGCTCCTACCTAGTTACAACCAGAGCTAGAGTTACCCTTTTTATTGCAACAAAACCATTTTCACTGGGATATGCTTTTGTGTTCCTCACACAAGTAATCATTTCCTTTGCCGAAGCAGCGGGGCAGTGACAACGTTGCAAAATGTCTTTCTCGCATTTCAGACGTACAGCAGCCAGAATGAGAACAACGAAGACTACGAGATCCCTCCCATAACGCCTCCTAACCTCCCTGACCCTTCCCTCCTGCACTTGGTGGACCACGAAACTGGATATCACTCCCTGTGCCACAGCCTCCCTCCCAACAGCCTGATCCCAGCCTACCCCTACCAGAACATGGACCTGCCGGCCATCATGGTCTCCAACATGTTGAGTCAGGACGGGCATCTCCTCTCCAGCCAGCTACCCACGGTCAGTGCCTTTCCCCTCTTACAGTCTAAGCTGTCTTTCAGTCTAAGCTGCTCTCTATTTTGCATTATGAGTCGACTGAGCATGGAAGGGTGTCGGTGGTGAGCTGTTTGCCTGGGTGGGTTGGCAGCTCTGTGGGGCTGCCCACCAAGGCCAGGGTGCAGTGGCAGAGATCAGAGTCACCTGCGTGGCCACGCACATTGTGTCAATTCTGTGTTTCCAGTTTGGTGTCTTCCTGAGCCTCATGAACCACTCAAGAGCAGGGGAAGGTTGTTTTCTTCCCTCTGTGTGTTTAGCATCCTCCCTGAACCAAGCGAAGTGCAGGTGCTCCATCCCCCATGGGAATGTGACCAGCCAAAGCCTGGGGTCCATAGCCCTGCGTCGTTTCTCCTCATCCCTGTGTCCTGCTGCCAGGGTGGCCCCGGTGGCATCATCAGGAGGAGCATGGATGCTCCCTGAAGGGAAAGCTGTGCTATTGATTTCAAGGGGAACAAGATCCCTCCTTGCACTCGCAAGCTCAAATTGCCTCTTGGCTCACGCCGTGGCAAGGGGATACCCTGGGAAGTTTCAAATGACTCATCTGCAGGGATAAACAAGGCAGGGATAATGAAGTAAAGTGCAGCTCTGGGAAGAAACTTCAGGGCTAATTAGACCTTACGACGCTTCTGCATCAGCAGCGCCGAGGAAAGGTTGTGACTTGATTTTGACAGCGACACTGAATTAACACTGTTGCTGTTTGGTGCCATTTTCCTCTTTAGCAGATTTAGCCCCGTGGTTGGGTTTCGACGTTGTTTCTCTCTAAGATCATTGATTTTGGACGGCGTCGATATCAAACAGAGTTAATTTGACTTAAAGAGCGTGGCTGGGAGGCTGCCCCTGCCTGGCTGGGGAGCGCTTGGTGTTGATTGCTTGGCTAGATAATGGTCTGAAAGGTAGTGATATTTAAATATTTAAATGGGATATTATCTCTTAGTCTAGGAAAATCCCAAGGCTTTCTAAAGTCCTGATGAGTCTCCAAGTTTCATTGTTAGTGTGTTTAAGGAAAATATCATGTTCTGCCCATCGGTATTGAACAGAGGCATATTTCTATGGAATTAAATATTACTTAGGGCTCTGTGTTAGCTTCTAGGTTCTTAGGTGATTAAAACATTCATTTCTGAGACAAAAAGAGTCAATTTCAGCTGAAATATTTTTCCCTGGTTTAATTTAAAGCACAGCCCCTTTGCCTGACCCCTATTTTCATAACACGATAATTTTATCCTGTGTTGATTGTCTCATTTTTGGAGGTGATATTGCACTTATAAATCACTTTCTAAAATACCTAAAGAAAAAAGAATCGGGGGATTTATTAAGCAGCTTCCCTACCTCTGAAATAATTTATTTTGGAGTAGTCCTTGGGAAATGTTCTCTTTCTTACTTTATGGTACTGTTTTACAAATGCAGTGTGGTGACAATAAATCAGGACTGAGCCAGAGAAGATCAGAAGGGGGCTTAGTGGGCTGTAAAAGTAGAATAGAGAGATTAAGATTTGTTTGCCCCTTACCACGAAAATAAAAAAAAAATCCATTGAACCCTGAATTTCCCAGCCAATAGTGAATTGAAACTGTTTGGGTTTGAGTGGAAACCCTCGGAGCTGTAATACATCTTCAGAGGTCCTGGCAGCAAAGGGAAGAGATCAGGGAGGGAGCTGATTTTAGGTCAGAATTAAATCCTGCCTTTCTCTCCTGCCAAAGCATTTTTTCCCACTGAAAAGTGACACCTTCTATCCCCTCTTGGGTGGGGGATTGAGTCTCCCCTTCCTTCAGCACCAGCCCACAATGGCAGAGTTAGTCCCACAGCACACCTACAACTCCTGTTGGTGCTGAAGAGAGCAGCACATGAGGACACAATAAAACCCTGGAGAGAGAGCAGATTTTAAACTCATATGGTTAATACCCTATAGCACCTTGCAGTACCTAAAGGGGCTCCAAGGGAGCTGGAGAGGGACCTTGGACAAGGGCATGGAGCGACAGGACAAGGGGGAATGGCTTCAAACTGCCAGAAGGCAGGGTTAGATGGGATATTGGGAAGGAATCCTCCCCTGTGAGGGTGGGCAGGCCCTGGCACAGGTTGCCCAGAGAAGCTGTGGCTGCCCCATCCCTGGAAGTGTCCAAGGCCAGGTTGGACAGGGCTTGGAGAAATGTGGTCCAGTGAAAGGGGGGTGGAACTACATGGTCTTTAAGTTCCTTTCCAATCCAAACCATTTGATGATTCTTTACCTCCTGCCCACATGTCTGTCAAGCCATAGCTCAGGGAGTGGTGTCCCCATGAAGCCAGAAGTGAGTCTGATGGCACAGGGCACACAACGTGCTCCAACCCTGCTAAAGTCACCCACCACCCGTCACCAGGTGGGTGTTTGCAGCAGGAAACACCCACAGCAAGAAGGGGGCTTGTTTGCCAATGCTTCCAAAAGGAGAGGATTCATTGCCACACGGGTAGTGATGGGAAGCCAGTCTGGGGCCAAGCATTGCCTGAGCACAGAGCAGGCAGCTCAGCCTGGGGAGGTTTTGTCTTTGTTCCAGCACCAACGCTGCTCATGCAAATGCTGGAGCTGGAACCTCTCTCCTCTCTCCTGCTCCTTGCTGTAGTTCATACAGGTTTTTGCATACACAGCTGTTTCCTGCCTTGGCTGCCATGTCTTTTGGTTTGAATACGGTGACAAATGACAAGCAATTCCACGTAAAATATTTAGACATTGGTCAGACCTTTGCTCTAAAAATGTAACCTGAGCCTTGGGGTTTTTTTAAGGCATCCTCGTGAAAAAAACCTCAAACTGCTAGAAAGAGGTGAGTCCTAACTGCCAGAGAGCCACAGGATTGGAACTTTCTTTAAGAGCTCAGAAGTAAATAAAGAAAATACAGGTGCAGGTTGCTGTCCCCTGTGATGTGTCTCTTGTCCTGGGATGTCCTGACATTACCCTCAGATTGCATTAAGCCTCCCAGTGCCTCTGCAAGGGATAGGCTGCTGCTCCCACTATGGAGGTGACCGACTCAGAGTGATTTTAAATCAGCACAGAACTTCCCATGGCAGGTTGGGAGCTGGAGAGTGGAGGTGGATTCGCTGTGTGCCAGACCCCACTCCTGCCTCTGACCCATGCACAGGCTGTCAGGAGCTGGAGCCCCTTGTTCAAGCACAGCAGCTGTGCCCTGATGGGGAAAACCCAAATCTGTATTTCCTTATCCCCTCACTATCATCCTCCAGAGCACCCTCCACACCACCTGCCTCTGCACGCTTTGCTCTGCCCATGGGCCAGCTCTGCATTTCCATAACGTGATTCTTCACTGCTGTTTCTCTCACTTCATTTCTCTGTTGGTTTTTTTTCCCCCCACCATGAGTTTTTGGAAGTTGAGGGAGTTTTCAATCACTGATGTGGGGTGCTGGGAGCTGGAGAGGAGGGAAGCAGGGATGGATGGACAAGGAGTGGCACAGGATGCACTGTGTGGAGGACCTGTGGAAGGGGATGTGGGGAGGCTGGGGAGGAGACAGGACTGTCTTGTTTGGGAAGAACTTGTTATTTTTTATGTAGTGACAAGAAACAAACAGAAAATTTCAAGCAAACAGTGGATTTTATTTTTTTTTTCCTACTGACCTCTCTTTTGCTATGGGAAAAGAGGAAGGAAAGAAGAGGAGTGGCAGGAGGGAAGGGAAATAGGAGAGATGTGACTGTCACTGAGAAATGGAAATATTTAGGAAAAAATTGTTTTTCTTGGGAAGAGAATGACTCTGTGACCCTCCCAACAGTGTGGACAAGGAGCTGCTGGGCCCTCCAGGGATCCACAGGGAGTCCTGCTGGGCTGGGACCACACTGGGACTGGGATCTGGGGCATGGGGGAAGCAGGGCAGGGGGCAGAGACACTGTGGATCAGTGGTGAGGTGGGGGCCCTCTGGGTTAAGGAGCTGCTGCGAATAAATGAGATTTCAGAGGGGATTTGGCAGAACATATTTGACAGAAACAAAGGCCGATCAAGGTCAGAGCTCAGGAATCTCCAACGCAGCGCAAACATATTTCCATAAATATTAAATAGCCACCAAGCTGGGGGTGTCTCTGCTCATCAGGTGGGACAGTGCTGGGCTGGGGGGAGCCAGGAGCTCCAGGTCAAGGGGACAACACTGCCTGGAGCTCACCACAACTGCTCCAGAATCTTAAAACTGTGTGGTCCCTCAGGCCTGATCAAAGGAGGTGGCTGTGCTGGGGCACACCAGAAAACCAACCTGTTCTCCCATGGTGCCCATCGTGAGCTGCAGCTGCCCTGCTGCTCCAGCTCTGCCATGGTCAGGAGGAATGAGGGCAGAGCCCTGTATTTCTGCCTGTGGAAAACATCGTTTTGGGCACGTGCCTGCTGTAAGAGCCAACACAGGCTGTGTAGATGTAGAGTTTGGTTGGAGCTGCTGGTGACTCTCCCTATGTCTGCATCTCTCTGGCGCTTGTCATGATGAGAGATCCTTATGAGTCCTTTAAATGCCCTAACACTTCCCTGAGCCCAGTGGGGTGACTTTTTTCTGCTCACAGCGAGCTGGTGCAAGGGCAAAAATGCTGCAGCCACAACCTGAAAGTTCTTAGTTTCTCTTTGTTGACTGGAAACCGATTATTTGAAAACCATTAAAAATCTTCAACGGCAAAAAGCACATCCGTTCTGTAAAATGACAGATTTCCAGTTAGCTGTGGAACCTGTTTATGCATAGCCCTAGGAAGGCAGTCAGGGTGCCCAGTGATGGGCAGCACAGCTGGATGTGGCTGTACAGATGTGGCTGGTGAGCATGGAAAGTTTCCCAGTAGAGGATCACAGAATCCCAGAATGGTTTAGGTTGGAAGAGGCCTTTTAAGGTCATCCTGTTCTAACCCAAATACTATGGGCAGGGACACCTTCCACTCTCCCAGGTTGCTCCAAGCCCCATCCAAGCTGACCTACAATGTTCCCAGGGATGGGGCAGCCACAGCTTCTCTGGGCAACCTGTGCCAAGAC